CCGCTGGCAGTGCATAGGGAGAATTGACAGCTGTTTAAAAGCAGCTGGTGGTTTCCTCTAGGCTCTGCAGCGGAAGGAGACCTCATGTGCTCCCCTGGCCCCCAGGCCAAGTGTCTTGCTCCCTTCCTCCGCCCTGCCAGGGGTGTGCAGCAGCTAGACAGAACTGCTTGTAAAACAGTTGGAGTTTCTCTAGCTGCCGCATGCCTTTGGCAGGGGAGGAGACTTTGCATGCTCCCCTGTCCTCAGGTCTTGATTGGCACGGGGGTGGGGGAGCGGCATGGTGCCCACAGGCTGGATCTACTGGGTTGGCAGACTATCCGGCCTGTGAAGGCCCCTTTGCCCATCTCTGTCTTAGGGCATCATTTTCTTATTTGGGAGTTATCAGAAAAGTGTCACATTTGGAGCATAACTGGAGGCACCAGGAATTAAGAAGTAGGCCCAAAATTGAATTTTAAACAAATCTTTCATCTAAGCTTAAACGTATAAATACTTCTAGTTATTGTGTTTTGTAAACTCATTTAAGAATATTAATGGAAATGTTATGAATGTTTCTTTAAACTTAAATGGAAACTTCATGGTTTAAAAAAAAAGCTGTGTAGTGTTGGCAATTTATTTGCCAGTTTTATAAGTATAATTCCATTATCCATTTGTTTTCAAATATGCCTGTATAGGAGCAATTCTCTGGAGCAAAGTGAAATGCTGAAAGTACAATATTAATTATACCCTATAAGTAAATTAGATTTTTAAGAGTATTTCGGTTTTTACTCTTAACCACTTACTGCTTCTTGCTGTCCTTTTGGTTATGAATTATATTGATAATACATCATCAGTGTTTGGTATAGTAAATGACATCTGATTATCTTGTTCTCGTTATCTTCCCCAGCACAGGCTTATTGGTCTGTAGTTTCCTGGGTTATTCTTATTTCCCTTTTTGTGAAAGTTTAACCACATAAACAGTTAAACGATAAGCCTGGGCTCCTTGGCAGCCAGAGGCTGCAGGGCAGGGCAGTAGCCAGCTCCCCTGGAGCAAGGCATGCACTGGCTCTTGGGGAGCCAGCTGCCACCTCACACCGCAGGTGCGGGTAACTGTGTAACTGCTCAGTTTTTCAGCAATTACACGTTTACCCAATTACCCATTTTTAACATTCCTAATTTGAACACATGATTATTGAATGAAATTGGCACGTGAATAGCATATGCTTGGATGTGACGAAGTGCTGTGGTCTGAACACTTTCAGAACACATTTGACATCTGACTATAGTTTGGCAAGGGTTGCCTCTTCCATATTTGAAATGCTATTGCTGAGGAATAGTTCCAAATATTGAAGCTAGTAGTGAACATTTTCAGATCACTGTTTCTCAATGTCTGGTAGCGTTGCCAGCTGTCTAACCATACAAACCCCAAAACTAGAGATATAATACTGTAGTCAACTAAACGATAGACCGATAAGTGGGTGCTTTTGGTTAACACTATCAGCTACACACAACACACTTCTGTCTCCCACCACAAGTACATATTTTAGTGTGCTGGCTGACAGGCTGGCTCAGTCCCAGTTTGCAAGAGGATTGGCATCAACTCCCATGCTGGCTCTTAGTGCTTGTCTTAGTGGGAGTAGCTGCTAGACCCAGCAGGAGCCGGGACTGAGTGGTAGCAGTGCTATCCCTTGTTGATTAATTGTATAGTCAACAATTTCTTTGTTGACGCCACGAATAACGAATTACACACTTCTTACCATCCCTACCTAAAACCCTTGCCTTGCCTCTTTTCCAAGGCCACACCCCTTCCCGACCCCATCTCCAAGGCCCCATCCCTGTTTGGTTTCCCTTTTACTCACTTTTACCAGGACACTTCAAGGGTTGGGGCCAAAGGGCTTGGAGTGTGGGAGTGGGCTCTGGGCTGAGCCTGGGCAGGAGTTGGGGAGGGGGTATGCTGTGCACACTTGGGAGGGAGTTTGGGTGCAGGAGCAGGTTTGGGGTGCAAGATGCTGGCTTCAGGAACAGGCTTAGGGCTGGGGCAGCGGGGTTGGAGTTTGGGAGGAATTGGATGCAGTCTCTGGCCAGGCAGCACTTACCCTGGGCAGCTCCTCGTTGGTGGCACAGCAGGATAAAACAGTCTTCTTGCCGTCCCTGGCTGCGTGCCACTCCTGGAAGCGGCTAACTCTGTGGCCCCTAGGTGTGGGGGGGCTAGGTGGCTCTGTTTGCTGCGTCTGCTCATATATGCCAGCCCTGCAACTCCTATTGGCCATGGTTTCCAGCCCCTGGAAGTTGCAGAATCAGTGCTTGGGATGGGGACAGCACTCAGAGCCTCTTCTCCCCCCAGGTCCTCTTCCTATTTAGTTCAAAATCTCCCATATTGGCTGCAGTAGCTGCTGGGAGATAAAGCCAGAGTCTGGGCTTTTTATATCTTTTGGTATCTTGTGGAGATGTTGGATTGACCCCAACCAACTTATGCCTGCAAGGAGTGGGCTTTCTCAGGGGTTCCCCACAGAGCTTTGGGAGGCCCACAGTCAAGTAAGACTTGATCTTTTCTTCTGTATCTTGACTACTGTAATCTGCTCTTGCCTTGGTACTAGTCTCACTGCTTCATTAGTCCACTGAAAACACTACTGTTAGGATCATTTCCTTGGTTTGTGATGCCAACATCACCACTCCCTCTGCATCCTCTGGCTTCCCCTCTATTGCATCAAATTTGTCTTTGTCCCAGGTCCTTCATTGTTCAGCGCAACAAGGTCAGACCTACTAGTTCACTGGGCTGTCCATCCCTTGGTCTATTACTGCCAGCTTCAACTTTGTGAACTTTTGTATTCTCCCAGGTTGCTCAGTGTGGGCTCTTCCAAAAGAGGCTTTTCTGAAATTTGGCCCAGTGTAGACGGGCCACATTTTGAAGTAGCCTCTATCGAAAAAACTATCGGAAAAAGGTACGCAAATTGTGAAGCACGATTTGTGTATCTTTTTCCAATAGATCATTGTTGTGTAGACATAGCCTGTAGGAAAACTTCCTGTCAAAATTAAAAAAGCTTTCACCTTTTCTTCTTTTTAATCCTTCTTTAAACACATCTTTTCCATGTGGCATACAAATGGCTTCCCGTCTTGCATAGATTAGGCAAATGCTTTTTGCTAGACTCTTGCCATGTTTTCCTCACCCACCCTCACACCACTTGCCTGTTTCATCCACCCACTGTGTCCTGTTTGACAAGCAGGTTGAAACCTCTCTGGAGCCTGCACTCTATTATGAGTCTGATTATTGACTGGACCTTAATAAGAAAACAAATGTTTGAAAGTATGGAAACTAACTTAACTAGGTCCCTTAGCTCTCCGACTTCTTCTCTTCCTTTCTCTTCCTTCTCTAGTTATTTGATAAGGTAATTTCAAAGTAAGGACTTCATTAAGTCTTGTGTGTGAATTGAATTATGAACAGCCACCACTTGTACAAGTTGCACAAGGAATATTGAAGAGGCATCGGCCCACTGATTTATAATTGACTTCCTGTTACCATGCACTAGCTTTTTCTACCTTGAATTGCTGATCAGATCTTAAAATCATGGAGCTTGGTGCTCAAAGGTTCTGAGCATCATCATTATCTCCACGAAAGGAATCTACTTATCAAAATAAAATCTCAAAACACCAATGCAGTAGTATAATTAACAGGGCTTGACAAACGGCGGCGAAATCTACTCGCCAGCCCCGCACTGTCCATGCGTGCACCACCGGCAAACGGGGCGACCGGCTGAAATCTGCTCGCCACAGGCGAGTAGATAAACGGATTTGTCGAGCCCTGAAAATTAATATAGCTAATCTATTTCTAGCTCAGTTCAAGAGCTACAGCAACTCAGACTGGAGTCAACAGCAGGTCACTTTAACTTCTATAATTTTTTTCCTTAGTAACTTAAATGTTTCTTTGTACTTATAGAATAGCTGTCGGAGTGGCCTGGGTCCATAGCTCCAGGGAATACAAAATCAGAAAACAAGCAAATACTGTATTTTGTCATTTTAAGGGTCTGTCTTCACTAGGAATGTAGAATTCTGATTAATCAGTTGACTGGTCAAACATAAAGTTAATTGAACAATTAACCGAATAAGCAGGCTACCAGCCCCAGTTCCAAGGTTGTTGCCGCCACTGGTTGCGGGAGGCTCCTGGCCTTAGCCCAGGTGCTGCCGCTAACTCGCGGCCCCACTGGGACAGCCCTCTGGTTGTCTGGGTTAAGGGTGATGCTCACTGGGTAACCGGTTACCTATTCACATCCCCACTTTTCACCACAGTTGGCAGTGTGATTGCAGCACATATAGTGTTCTTGAGCTAGCTTTAATCTAAGTGGTGCAAACGCTCATAGCAGTGAAGTGGTGGCGGCTCAGAGTTGTGGGTGAGCTGGATGCCCCAGTAGGTGTGTAGACCTTCTGTGCAGCTGTGGCATCACTGCTGTAGGTACGTGCACTAGTCACATAAAAGCTATTTTGGGTATGTCTACATGTCCTGAAATCACCTCTACTCCCTCTCACCCAGTTGCAGTGTAGACACGCTCAGTATGCAAACATTTCTCTACACTCACACCTTTGAGAGCTTGTCCATACGGGGCTAGTGCTTGTGCTTTGGAGCTTCTTTTAGACAAGCTAAAACAGAGAAGTAGAAGTAAAAGGCAGATTTCTTGAGTAGCCCCTCCTCGGCCTGCCACTGATGGAGAGTGCTCCAGCCCCCTTTCTCTCCCGGCACGCCATTTAATTTGGAGCAGCTTTGTCTGCGGTGGGTCCCCTGTGGGATTGGAGCAGCCCTACTGTTAAGGGTGAGGCTTACTGGTTAACCAGTTAAACCTTAACATGCCTGATATAAATGTGCTGTCCCATTTGCTTGACCTTATGATAGAAGGTGCTATTACACCAAAACCATCCAGATAAGACAGTGTGAGTCTACTGAACAGAATGATTTGCTAAATGAAGTCAATTGTTTGTCATGCAAAGTCTTAAATAAGAAAATCTGACTCCTGTTAAATTGTTGTATTATTTTATTCACAGAGGAGAGAATACAAAATTGAGTCTCTTTAAGTAGCACTGACTGGCAAAGTGGAAATAGACATGAGACTTCTCTGTACTGCCCTTTCTTTGGCCTGGATTTACCAGCTGGTTGAAGCTACGTTGTCAAAAACAGATGCAAAAAAAATGGCTTCAAAAACACTGGAGGAAAAGGTATGAGATCTGCTGTTCAAGACAACTTGTATTCAGAGTGACTTACCAAGGAATATTGGCAGATGTTGAAGAGTTTTTCTATTGGCATTAACTTATAATGGTTTCGTAAAAAACCCAATAAGATAACTAAAGTATACTGACACCGACCAACCTTACCTACAGCTGGACCATGGCTTTTTAGTTGAAAAGTAAACATTCTGATAGCATTACCAAGGAATGCAAGCTGTTGAGTTGATATTGAACCTGTAAAAATAACTACATACACAGTATTAATTTCACTAGATTGGAAAACATGAAAGGTGTACATTTTCTTGCTTAAAGGAACATTATTTAACATTTTAAAACTGCCTAGGTAAAATTTCACATTTCTGATAAAGCACCTTTTAGTATCCTGAGCTCACTGCTTAAAGCAAGTGTGGTTCCGGCTGCCTTTAATGTTAAAAACAGTGCTTTGGGCAGGTTTAAGAGCAGCAGAACTAGACATCCTCAATCTTGCCATAACTCCTTGTGCGTGCTTCTGTTTTCTGCTGCTTCACATTTAGCATGCTGCTATTAGTGAATGTCCTCATGCAGAGTCTAGGTAAGGATGTGCATGTTGAATGAAAATCAAGAGTACTCAGGTGTAGAGGGAAAACAGAAGGACCAAGGACAGAGCTCTCTAGAGGATAGAAAGTTGGCTGTGAGGATAATGGGGAGTCTCCAAAGGAAATGGTGAAAGAGATATTAGAGAGAGAGAGGAGAACAGGCAGGAAAGGACAGAGTCACAGAAGCCAATGAAGAGTAAGATTTTATGAAGAGGAATGTGGCTGAAGGTTGATCACAGGAGAAGAGGGTGAGGATGGAGTATTGGTTCAGTGCTTTGGTTAGAAGGAGGTCAGCTGAGAATTTGGGACTGGTTTAAGTGGAACACAAGGTACAGATGCTGTACTGGAGAGAGTCTAGGAGGGTATTAGAGGAGACGCTGTCCATACATGTTCAGTGAACTTTGAGACAAAAGGGAGATAGCTGAAGAGTCAGTGGCCAAGGATTTTTTTAAGGTGGGAGAGACTAAAACCTGCTTGTCTTATGAGAGGAAAAAGCCAGAGGACAGTAAGGGTATGTCTAGACGGCAAAGTTATTTTGAAATAACTTTCCTAGAATCTGCACAGCAAAACTGCTATTTTGAAATAAATTTGAAATAGCGGAGCGCTTATTTTGAATTTGGTAAACATCATTCTATGAGGAATAACGCCAAATTCGAAATAGCTATTTCGAAATAAGTGCTGTGGAGACACTTATTTCGAAATAGGGGGCCTCCAGCCTTCCCAGGGTGCCCTGGTGGCCACTCCAGCTTCAACCAAGAACACTCCTCTCCCTCCTCCCCACTCTGGAGCCCTTAAAGGGGTAGACTGTGGCCACAGTGCCTGTGCCAGCTCCAAGCCTGCCAGCCCAGAGCCAGCAGTCACTGCCCCTGACCCAATGGTCCCAAAACATGAGCCTCTGGCAGCCAGCCCTCCACTACTCTCCCGGAGCAGTCTGCCAGCTCCCAGGAGACTGCCAGGGCCTGGAGAAGGTGGGTGCCCTCCTGGTCAAGGGGTGCCTTCCTGGTCCAGGGTGGAGATCATGGACCTTATTCAGGTTGGGGGGGGATGCCCCCAACATCCATGATCTCCACACTAGATGGAGGAACGTGGCTGTCTATAGTGGGATAGCTGCCAGACTGGCCACCAAAGGCCACATGTGAACCCAGGAGCAGGTTTACATAAAATCAAGTTGATCTGGCGAGACCCCCACCCCGAGCCCTGAGCTTCCCCTCTCCCTTCTTCCCCTGGCTTCCCCCTTCCAGCTCCCTCTTCCCAGGTTTCCCTCTCCCCTCTCCCGCCTCCCTTCCCCAATCTCACCAGAGTTTCATTTCCCCCCTCCCACCCAGTTTTGTTAAATAAAGACAGTTTGTGTTTATGAAAAAAATGTGTATTTTACATCAGGAAGGGGGGTTAGGGAGGGAGGAATGAGGCACAAGTCCCCAGTGAGGCAGACTAGGGAGGCTCTTAGTGCTCCTCAGGGTGGAAGCTCTCCCGCAGGGCCTCCTGGATATTGAGAGTCCCCCGATGGACCTCTCGGATGGCAGCCTGCAGAAAGTGCAGCCAGGCTCACAGCAACGCATCCAAGAGAAGCACCAGAGTGCCCTGGGGCAGCTCTGGCTCCATGTTGCAGAGTGCTGTGGGGTCGCAAGTGAGGGCAACCAGAGGACACAGAGATAAAATGCTTTGCTGTCCCTCATCGAGGTAGGCAAGCAAGCAGGAAAACCTGAGAACCAGCTGTCTCGGCGGACCTCCCCGGAATGCAGACCCGGCCTCCACCTGGACTACCTAGCGCAGCCCCCGTCGCTGAAGGGCGGGGGCACAACAGGGCCGGCAGGCTGTCGGCCAAACCAAAGGTGACTACCCCCGGGTTGGGAACGCCGGGAGGGGGGAAAGGAAGCAGCCCAGGGTGGAGCTCGATCGAGTTGGCAGGCTGACGAATTCGGCAAGGAGCCCCATCAGCCGGACCGGAGCTACCTGGACCTGGTTTTGGCTGGCCTTAAATGCGATTCAGCGTCCACTCAGTGTGGATGTGCTATTTCAAAATAGCAAAACGCTATTTTGAAATTCATTTTGTGTGTAGATGTGTTATTTAGAAATAAGCTATTTCAAATTAACTATTTCGAAATAGCTTATTTTGAAATAACGCTGTAGTGTAGACATACCCTAAGAGTTTAAGGAGACTATTGGGCACAAGTGAGATCAGGAGATGAGATGGGCTCATAGGGGCAAATGGAGGGACTAGGGGAAGAGAGCAGATGGGTATGTGTTTGTGAGAGGAGAAGGAGACAAGTTGTAGGAGAGAGGGTAATACGATGATCTGAGGGGAGAAGGAAGGTTGTATTGTATTTGTGTTGGGGTCCCCAAGAAGTCAGAGTAGTTACCAAAATAAAGTAAAATATAAACATGCCATTTAAACTCTCAACCTTCCTAGACTGGGCAACAACTATATCAAGCAGTGTTTCTCACCGTACCTGATAATGCATCCCATAGTATGCAGATTTCACCCTTGAAATCTACGCCAGTCCCCTCTGTTGGAATATTCATACTGTCCTTGTTGCTTGCAGCATGGTGGGGTGGGAGAAAGGCCAAACATAGAGCTTTGTGTTTGATTTTTATACCCTCAGACCCTTGTGTTTGGGGAGCAGAAATCCAGGCATGTCTGGCGGGCATTGCTGAGTTGAGCAACTCCACGTGGTTGGCCTCATGTTGTAAAAGCTGTATGAAGGAAGTCTATCTTCAATACCCAAGTCACAATGAAAGTTCAATCCAAAGTGTCTTAAATGTAATGGCCTCCTTAAAGTGTTGAATCGCCACACCAGACTGGGAAACTTCACTCTTGAAATTATGTATCCATCTAATACTTGAAAGTACAGTTATACTCTGAAAAGATACTATGCATCATTGCCCTATTCAGTGGATCTGCTGTGTATTTGCAATCTTATCTTTCACTTCTATGAACACTACAAAACTCAAATTTTACCACAGTTTAAAGTGCTGATCCCTCACAGAAATGTAAAATATACATTGCCAATCTGTTGGAATTGTGTAAACCTAATCTCGGAGTTAGCAGGGTTGTAGTTGGAGAACTGGGTCTTATTTGCTCTGCAGAATTTTTATTACTGCTGTGAGGAAACTTAGCTTGACTCCCTCTAATCTGCATGGTAGCATGGCCCTGCAGCTGCTTAATAAGCCCCACCCAGCCGGGGGCTCCGCACAGGGAGTTGCCTGGACGAGGGAGGGGCACTTCTCCCTCAGCGGCAGCAGCAGATCCCTGCTGAGGACAGAGCAGCGAGTCTCTCCCAGCCAGTAGGAAGGGAACTTTGCTCCCATAATCAGTGCTGGGTTAGCAAAACTGTCATTTAGAGAAAATCTTGTAAACTGTTTGGGTATGCAAATTATAAGACACAAACATGGACCCCACAATACTGCTTTAGTCACTTCTTGCTGTAGACCAGCACTTAAACATTGCTAATGGTGGCCTAGATTTGTCTGATTATAATTGCCAATAGATAAGTGTCTTGAGATTGAAAATTGAGATTGAGATTTTTAACTGTAATGAATGTCATGTGCGCAGAGTGTATTCCTATAATCAATTGGCTTTCTTCTTTTGTCTCTTTGCAAGGGAAGTGTGTGTAAAGTAAGACTTTGTCTATTTCTGATACTGACAAAATTTCTGAGCTCTAGCCTGGTCCTTTTCACTATGTTGCATCATTTATAGGGAACTCTAAAAGTGTAATGCTATGATTGAACTGTACATTAATTCAAAAGTCAGTAATTGTACAAATGCTGTTACTGAAAGTAATTCCAAAAATTGTTTTTTCCCCTGTAGATGTGGCATTCAGACAAAATTGTACAGGACCGGGGTCTGGTAGTCACTGATCCAAAGGCAAAAGATATTGTGTTGGAACACAAAAGTTACTGTGCCAAGAAAACAAAGGAGAGACACTTCTTCGGAGATGTTCTGGGATATATCACCCCTGTAAGTAATAACATAAAAATCAGAGTGACAAGTCTCAGAGCGGTAGCCATGTTAGTTTGAATCTGCATAAACAACGAGAAGTCCTGTGGCACCTTACAGACTAACAGATTTATTGGCACATAAGCTTTTGTGGGCAAAGACCCACTTAGTCAGATGCATCTCCTACTTGCTGTGCAGGGCAGGGAAGGAAAGGAGGGGGTGCTGATGTCAAGATGCGCCCTCTCCCACCTTGCATCCTATCTCCACAGAGCAGAGAGGGGCACAACACAGGACTTGAGATGGAGTTTGCTGGCTGCTTTTGAGAGTGGTGCAGGGCTAGTGTAGGGGTGAGCCTGCCTTAGCCCCACTGTACCACCACTCAGGAGCCACCTGAGGTAATGAGTGACCAGCTGGAGTCCACCCCAATCATGAACCCCCTCTGACACCCCAAGCCCCAGTCCCAAGCACTCCTATATCCAAATGCCCTCCCAGAACCTGCACCTAGAACCCCCTCCGGTACCCCAACGGCCTGCCCCAAGCTCAGCTCAGAACCCCTCTCACACTCCAGATCCCTTAAGCCAAGATCAGAGTGCCTGCACCCCAGCCCTCTGCCCCAGCCTGGTGAAAGTGAGGGAGGATGGGAGGGAGGACAGAGTGAGCAGGGGAGGGTCCTCAGAGAAGTGATACAAAGGAGGCGGGGCAAGGGTATTTGGATCTGAGGTAGATCTTGGATTGCACTTAAATTCAAAAAGTGATCTCGTTCTTAAAAAGGTTGGAGACCACTGGTCTATAAGGTGCCACAGGACTTCTCGTTGTTTATAAAAATCAGAGTCTCTGCTGTATATACAGCAGACTAATAAGATGCCAGGTTTCTCCATTCTTACAGCCGCAGTAAATAGACCAGCACTAGGTACAATATTGTACCTATCCCTTCAGTTTCTTTATAATACTAATGCTATTTCTGATGCTTGGTCAAATAGTCACCCAAGAGAAGGATGGTTCATCAGTTGGCTACTAGTCTAGGACTCCACGCTGCATTTATTTCCCTGTTCTGATACTGGTTTCTTTGTGACTTTCATGTGACTTGCATAGTCTTTGTGTCCCAGGTCCCTGGGGGGAAGATAATACTTCCCTACCTCACAGGGGGTATGTTGTGGGTCAGGCTTACAGCCCTGTCATCATTGGGATTGCCCACACCCGTGTGCTCATCCACCCGCCCTCACCCCGTGGTTTCAACCTTGCTTAGTCCTGAGGTCTTTCAGTCCCTAGATCCCAGTAAGCCCGGCCCTTAGAGGGCGGGGCCTGCCTGGCCTGAAGTGCTGCAGAGAAGGAGGGGGACTCGGGCCCACCCCCGCTCCGGGTCCGGCTCAGAACACTAAAGACAGCGAAGCAGCTATGCTGTCTGGTTGGGGGAGGGGGGGTTCCCCGTAACTCACCAAATTTTGGGGGTTTGGAGCGACTCCTCCTCCTGTCCCCGTCCTGGGCCACTTCCTCCTTCTTTTGGCGGTCGTTGGCCTGGTGTCCGGCCTGCCTCTGGTCCTTCCCATTTCTCTCCCCCAGCATTCTCCCCTGGCTCCTTTCCCCTCCGGCTCTCCTACCCAGCTCTCCGGGCTCTCCTCTCTCACTCTCCGGGCCCAGGCACCATTTGAACGGGCTGCCGGCTGCGGCCCCACCCTGCTCCACCCCTCTGGGCGCGGGCTGATGACGTCAGCTGACGTCTCCCCTCGGCCAGCTTCCGTCCGGCCCCAGATTGCTCCCGGATAGGAGCGCCAGGGGATTGTACAGGTGCATGGGTGCTCCGTGCTCCCCGGGCTTCCCCCCTCCTCTGTCAGGCTCCCAGTGGCCTGCTCGCCGCCCAGCGTGTCCACGGGAGACCGGGGAGTGCGGGGCGCCGTGGACTCCGCTCGCTTGGAGCCCGGTGCCCCGTCACAGGGTAGTATGAGACTGTGATGTGTTTACATCCCAGGCAGTGGGGACTGCACATGTGTTGTGGATAGATACACAATGCTACTTGAATCATTTCAATACAGTGCAAAAAAATTTTTTTTGCTGATACCAAACTAACTTTTATTTCACTAGTATACAAGACATCTCTCTAGATCCCTTTTAGAATATTGAATACATGTTTTGATCATAGTAAAGGGCTGTATAAAAAATAATAAAGTGTAACCAGTTGAAAAAAATAAATGTCTCACCAACACTATTTATTGTACCTCATAAGTTGCCGAATTATTGGTTTTGTTTGTAGTCATGGCTAAGCAGAGGCTTGAAGGGAGGGAAACACATATCTGGACATTGACAGATGGGAGTCTTCAGCTCTTTAGTCCACTTGCCAGTTAAGCTTAGTGAAAGTTGACTTCCAAGTGAAGGATCATTCAGGCTCCCAAAACCTATTTTACTTTTACTCTTAGCAGGGTCCTACCAAATTCACGGCCCAGTTTTGTACATTTCACGGTCATATCATTTAAAAAAATCTCGAATCTCGTGGGTTCAGATACTTAAATCTTAAATTTCTTAGGATACGTCTCCACTAGCTCGTTAGTTCGAGCTAGGTAAGGTAATGAGGGCAAGCGGAGTTGCAAATGAAGCCCGGGATATAAATATCCCGGGCTTCATTTGCATGTTCCCGGGCGCTGCCATTTTTAAATCCCCCTTAGTCCAAACTCTGTGCCCGCAGCTACACGCTGCACGGAGTAGGTAGTTTGAATTAAAGATCCTAATTTGAACTACTGTTACTCCTCGTGGAATGAGGAGTACCCATAGTGTTGGAACAAAGCACGAATATGTATTTTAAAATGGCACAATATATACTTGTAAAGCCTGGAAGATTCATCATTTCTCTAACTATGGGTTAGGTACAAAATGGGGTTGTAAGGCTATTGCCACCCTTATTTCTGTGCAATATTCAGAGCAGGGTGGCTGGAAAGCAGTGGCTGCTGGCTGGGTGCCCAGGTCTGAAGGCAGCACTCTGTACTGTGGTATACTTTTGCCATATAATATAGGATGCGTTTATAGGATAGGGTAAAAGTATACAGAAGACTAGATTTCATCCTCCATGAAATGGTTTTCATGGCTGTGAATTTGTTAGGGTCCTCACTGTTAGGAAATCTTCCTAATTGCAGCTTGAGAGTCTCATTGGCAACTGGACAGAATATTTTTGGCACATGTCCACTAAGACACATGTATCTAAGTTGCAAGAGTTTACTGGAAGTCTATGCTGTGAAAGTGATCGATTGATACTTGGCACAAAACTGTCCATTGAAGTTTCTGTTCTTTTAAGTTTCAGAAATATTTTGAACAGGAAGCACTGCTATTATCAGTCTTCTGCAGACTGAAGTGATGGCTTGAAGGGTGCAAACTGGCTCATGTATTTCAGTGTGTCAACTGCACATCCAAATGTGATGACATAAAGGGTTACAAGGTTATTACACTACCCATCACTTCACTAGAAATTTCTAGGAACTGTGCTGCATTGAAAAAGGTCATCCATTTTTATTAAAAAGAGATATTGTATAGGAGTAAGGATGCAAGCACTAAAGCAGGGGTGTCCAAACTTTTTTCAAAGAGGGCCAGATTTGATGAAGTGAACATGCGTGAGGGCCGACCATTTTGCCTGACATGCTTTGAACCATTAAAATTAAATGCAAATTAACTATTTTATGCAAAGTTTATTGCAAACGGCATACTTTTCATTTCGTCACATGGATGACAAATCTAAACAGGTGTTAAATCACTCTGCCTTTCATATCTGAAGGCCAGATGAAAAAAAAATCCAGGAAGCTGAAATATATGTCAGGAACATTGTAAAGTACATTACATATTATTGGTAATAAAGGTTGTCTGTCAACTTTTAAGTTCAAAAAATATGAACAGGAACATAACACCAAGTATACATGTTGTGTCCAAATATATTTATAACTGATTTAGACCAACTGACATTAACTGAGATTTTACAATGTATTCATCTCAATACATATGGATTCGTTGGGGGGCCATAAAAGATAGATATTGCCAAATTACCTGGGGGGCCATATTAAACCGGAACACGGGCCGCAATTGGACATGCCTTTGGACATGCCTGCACTAAAGCAAACATTGATGACCTGGCAGCACGTTTTGGCCCTTAACATAGGAGTCGGCTAGAGGGGAAGAGAAAAGATAGGAGGGATTGAGGGATAATTTCTTTTAAGCAAGTCTAGGTCTAAGGCTATGTCTACACTACTGCCACTGTCAGCAAAACTTATGTGTCTCAGGGGTTTGAATGTTCTTCGTCTTAAGAGACATTAGTTACTCGGACATAAGTGCTAGTATGCACAGCACTCTGTAGGTGAGAGAGCTTCTTCTGATGACATAGCTTATGCTGCTCGCAGGGGCGTTTTTTATGCTGTTGGCAAAGAGCATCTTCACCACATGGTCTGTAGGAGTGCAGCTTTACTAGCTGTGACACTGCAATGCTGTAAGTATAGATGTGCCCTAAAAAAAGGAATTTTGAATAAATATATCCAGATACAATACAATACTGATCATCATGAATTTTCATTTTTAACAGCTTCATGTATTGGAAGTGAACTTATTTTGTTTAAAAACAAAACACTACAGGTCTCCTTGCAGCTTTTCTAGAAACTTCTTTAGAGTATAGCAAAATGTGTTTTGGATGTTAGTAGACTCTTATCAAAGAGGGAAAGTGTAATCACATGAAGGCTAGGCCTTCTAGCAGATTCCACTTGGATATCCTGTGACTATTTGGCTCTTCCATTCCTTACAAGAAGCAGGGAAATTTCAGCAATGTCATAGTGTGAAATTTCACTGTTCTTTATTTCCATTGGACATGGAAAGAATTGAATGCATAATCTATTAATCACATTCCCCATTGGGATCTCTCTTAAATTCAGTATAAGCTGAAGCTAAAATGGGCGTATGGCTTTATCTTTGCTGGAAATATCAAGTGTGCATTCCGTAGTCAGTTCTAAGTAATGAACCTCTACAAACATTCCAAAACACTTCCTCAGAAGCCCACAGATTGACCTGCTGTGATCTTTACAATACTTCTGTTTGTGTTATACCGAAAAATTGCCATCTAGAAAGTAGTAAAGGTTGCTGTAGATCCTGTTGTAATGTGTTTTTTTCCTCCCCTTTTTCCTTTTTGCAAGTGGAACAACCATGGCTATGACATTGCTAAAACATTTGGAAACAAATTTACGTTGATCTCCCCAGTTTGGCTACAGGTGAAAAGGAAAGGAAAGGAGAAGTTCCAGTTCACAGGACTACACGATGCTGACCAAGGTTCTTTGTTTTTATTTTGTGTGGTGTTTGGTTGTATGTATGAAATACATAGTCAGCATTGCCGTAGGCTGAATGAAGGACATAAATTATTAGCCTTTCCAGTATACCAGCATGGATTTGCCTCTGGACTTTGAGGCTGAGGTTCTACTTTGTCACTGTACTCTTACAATAAGACTCATAATATTATTTTAAAAAGAGAACCTCTCATTCATCCCCCAAAGAGTAGCGGAAGAATGTCAATTTTAGTAGCTCCTGGCCCATCACAAAGAACAAACAGCTTTACGGATTTACACAAACTTTTTAATGAATACGTATTAACTTCATTTAACTTTGTAAAGCATTTTGGGATAGTGGAAACATGACTCTGATGAAGGGTATATTTCAGGCTTTATGCTATTAATTCAAATTTAGTAATGGTGGAGTGTCAACAAATGTGAAGTTATCTCAGTTGAAATACTGGAGACCATTTCTGAACAAGGTTTAATTTGATCATGTTCACACCAAATAATAAATCAATAAAATGATCCTTATGAAAATGGAATAGGCCACTAAAAATACCATTTTATTTAAAACTGTACATCCCAAAGGATGATTGAAGCCTCCAAAAAGATCAAAGCCTCAATATGGTGCAATCTGGATGTCGTAACAAATGAGCCAGAACAAGCGCTGTTGTATTTCATGTCAACATCCGTGGAAACTTTTTTGTAAGCTAAAAACATCAAACTAATGGTTTCCACATGGAATGAGGCAACTAGCTTTATTCTCTAGATGTCAGTAAGATTGTAGTCACAATAGAATGCCCTGTGAGACAGTAATAGTTTCTCTTATGGGAGGAAGAATGTTACAGTAAAACTATATACTTTATTTGAAGACTTGAAAGAAACCTTATGGATATTTATATTAGATATATTCATAGTTTAACAGCTGTTTCATTGTTTGGCAGGTTGGATAAAAGATGTCAAGAAAAGTGCTAAAAACATCAAAATAGGTGAGGCTGCATTTTAACTTACAGTCTTCTGGTTGTGGTTATTGGCAGAGACAACGAAGCTTTTAGTCCAGAAGTATGTAGATGGGATGCGTTAGCTCAGCAAAATAGTCAGGGGCTCTTAAAAGAAAAGACTGAAAGATATAAAAGAGTGCATCTACCATTATTTGGGTCAATTAATTATTGGTAGCTCAGTAATTGAGCTATTGTACCTGTTGATGCCCTGAGGTTTTTCACCTGAACTTTTTGCCTTCCCCTCATTTTTTTTTCTTGGTTCAGACTGAGTCTCTGTGTTCTTGCCATCTTTCTTCTGGAGAATTCATTCAGTGCTGATTGCCATGTTCTTGAGGGGAGAAGTTGGCCTTGTTCAAAATTATCCTTAGGATTTATGGAGCCCTATGCAGTGCTATTATACTGGTGCTCCTTTGCTCAATGGCATCAAGGAGGAGGGAAAAGATATTTTACAGATGTGATTTTATAATCTTTAGCAGCACACTAATGAAATATTTGAAAGCAAATTTTAAACAAAGGTTTGGTAGATTAACACAGTAAATTCAGAAACTGACAGTAAATACCTGGGTGTGGCACATGTCTAGTACATGACTTCATTACCACTTGAAATGGCTCTCTCATAGGCTCAGTGCTAGGCTAATAGGCCTGCCAGGCTTTTTCACTTTTCAGTTAAGTAGATCCTCTATGGAGGAATCAGAGCCACAGAGATAGGAAGAGATGGGTGGGTGGACATTGAGACCCATTGGTGCCCCAAATCTTTAGATGCGCTACACAACTGCGTATGGGTAAGAATGGCTTTGACATTGTGACCGCAGTACTCTTAAGCTCCAGTTCAAGAATCCAACTGATGATCCAGCTAGAGCGTTCAAGATTGCTGCTTTTTCTCTTAACCTGAAAGTCTGGGGTCTCAGATTCCTGTTTTAGCAAAAATTGGAAATAACCAATCGTGACACTGACTAGACCAAGGGTGGCCGTTAAGCAGCTTGTGAGACATACATGGTTCACTAGGATTACATTCTGGTGGGCCACCAGATGCTTTATTTAGCTGCACATCTACAGGTACAGCTGTTTGCAGCTCCTGTTGACTGTGGTTTGCTGTTCCCGCCAATGGGAGTTGTGAGTGGCTGTATCTGTGGACACGCAAGTAAATAAAGCATGTGGCAGCCCACCAGAGGCTAACCCTGGTGAACTGCATCTGGGCCACGGGCCACTTGGACTAGACCCTGTGCTGTAAACACACAAAGGTAACAAACTAAAGTTTAGAAGTAAATTTATCTTTCCAGTATTGTAATCTTAGGGATTGTGTCAATAATAGGCACAGCTTCAAGAAGAAAGCACCATTTTCAAGCTGGCATCCATTTAAAATTGATGTGACAGCTCTCATTGATAACTCAGTTCTCCATTAAAAGTATCTACTTTGAGTCAATGCTCTTCAGTAATCCACTTTTGAAACAAAGGACCCCTCTGAATAAGCAATTTGCTTATCTATACTAACTGGATTTAGAAAGTAGAGAAGCAAAACCTTTAGCTATGGGAGATTTTCTTATGAATGTTCTGCTAATTTATATCTAGAAATTAGCAGAACATTTAATGGGCTGTTAAATTAACTATTTTTTCCAGCTTCCTTTCTGTAGGAGTATATCAGTGTAATCAGAGCCATTGTAATTTTCAGAATTACTTGTCTGACTTATTTCTTTCATCTCAGTTCCCCGGATTTTGTTTGATGGCTGGACTTACCAAGATTTTGAGAGTGTTTTTGGCAGTGAGGATGAGATAGAGGAGCTTTCCAAGAATATGGTGCAAATAGCCAAGGTAAAATAATTTCTAATACAAATGTGTTAACCAGTAGGATACCAGTTATTGACACCCATACCTTCACATCTTATGGTGATGAGAAAGTGTCTCTTTAAAACAGTAATTAGGGGGCTATTAAACAGTAATTGCTAAATTTAAGTAGCTTAAATCTGTGAGTCTGGGGCAGCTTGCACACAAGCGTTCAAAAACAGCTGAAGAGATCGCTAAGCTGTTCAAGCTTTAGGCATGATGCAGCACTTGGGGAGGACTAGAAAAAAGCTAATGTGGGATGACTCAATTATTAAGATATCAGCCTTGAGGAAAATCATGGGACATCTAATAAAAATACAATTTTAATAACATTAAATGAAGGTAGAATAATTAATGCTGGCAGCATATGTTTTATGGAAAATGGATCTTGTCAAATTTATCTGACCATTTTTGAGATTAAAGCATGTTAACAAAGGTCTGTTATGCTTGTTACTTCTGTAAGGTGTTTGATTAGTATTGTACAACTTCCTATTATAAACTAGTACTAGAAAACAATATAGCAAATAGTAAATGGATTCTGAATTGGCCAACTCATCTCAAAATAATTGTAAATGAGGACTCCTCATCTAATGAGTTCTTAACCAGGGCTGCAAAGATATTTGCTCCTAGCCCAGTGCTAACAATAATCTGGAAGAAAATAGAAAATCACTGATGGTAAGGTCTACCGATGATATACATTTGTGTAGCAGTAAATAGTTCCAGAGAGTGATATGGATCAGATGATAAATAAATAAATAAAATTATTAGAGATTGCCTATCTCCTAGAACTGGAAGGGACCTTGAAAGGTCATTGAGTCTAGTCCCCTGCCTTCACAGCAGGACCAAGTACCATCCCTGACAAATTTTTGCCCCAAATCCTTAAATGGTCTCCGCAAGGATTAAACTCACAACCCTGGGTTTAGCAGGCCAATGCTCAAATCACTGAGCTATCCCTCCCCCAGGCTGGGCTCCGCATGAATTTAGCTGTATTTCAGAGCATATTATTTAAGCTTATTTTTGTGTAAACAAAGAAAGGAGGTCACATTTGTAGGAATGTGGTATAGGAGACCCTCGCGATTTGCAGAATCACTATTCATGGTTTTGAGTATTCATGGGGATCTCCTGGCTTGATATGGGACGGGGGGGCAGTTTTGGCCTGGAGCTATGGGGAACTCATTGCAACTGCCAGGAGACACAGTGAGTTCTCCCACAGTTTCCAGTGCCTGCAGTGATTTCCTTGCGGCTCCCAAACTCACCGGGGAGGTGGAAGCCATGGCTCCCAGTATTCGTGAATTTCACCATTCGTGTTCTTGACAGAAATGCATCCACCATGAATGGCGAGGGTTTCCTGTACTGTGCTTTGGATAGCAGTAACTCAAAGGAAGTTGGAGATCATGGTGGATAACCAGTTTGAACAGGAGTTGACAGTGCTTGTGGTCGTGAAGAACAAATACAAGCTTGAATGTATGAGCAAGGGACTGTCAAATGGAAACAGGGAGATATTACCTATGTGTCATTAGTGAAACATGACTGAATACGGTGCCAGGTTGTGATGTCAAAAGTTTTTGAAATAAAAAAGCAACAAAAAATAAACCTCGCCATCACCCTCCACAAATGGGCAAGGACTTGGATGAGAGCTACAAGCATGATTTGAGGTCTGCAGTGAGACAATAGCTCTTTCTCTTTAGTTTAGCCAAGATCAAGTAGAGACATGGCTTGGCCATAGCCAGAATACCCATTGGGAGAAGAATTTACTACAGAGTGTTCTTTAATCAATTCCGAGTCTCTAAATCCTGACTAATTGAGGAGGTGGGAGAAATTAAACTTTAAAAGAAATTGACAGGTTGGATCACAGGGGTCCTCTTGGGATTGTCATCTGGTGTGCTGATCAAGCCACTGAGACTGCCTTCCTACTGCTGGGGCTGTCCACCTCTGGTCTCCCACAGCCAAGGCATAGAGTTGGGGTTATCGCCCTCCTAGCAGAGCAACATAGACAGAACCAGCTCCCCTATAAGTCTATTGACGGTACCCAGGAACCCAACACCCAAAAGGGACCAAACCCCCATATAAGTACGTTTCACCCTGTGTAAAAGTTGTACACAGAGAAAGCTCATAAACCTGTCTGCCCCCTTTATCAATGCAAGAGAGATATGCAAAGTGATTGCTCCGTCAGGGGTAAAAATTATTTACATTGGGCTTGATAATAAACATAAGTTTTGATTAAGTATATATAGTAGGGTTTAAGTGATTGCAAGTGAGAACAGATCAGAGTAAGTTACTAAGCCAATGCCAGCTAAATCTAATGCACTACGAAAATTGTTACATACAAACTCTTACCCTAAACAGTTGTTCTTATCTCAGGCCAGAGTTGATCATTTTCAGATCTGAACTTTGACTTCACCCTTTTCCTATAGATCTTTGTTTCCAGGTCTCTTCATGTCTATCCTCATAGGGTGAAGGCAGCTTCAAAAGTCAGCTGAAGACAAAAGACTGATTGCTTTCCATTCCTTAAATAGACTTTCCTCCAGGATGGGAAACCTTTGTCCAGTCTCCCCATCCGAATGGAAAAGTACCAGACTCAAAATGGATTCCAGTACCAGGTGGCATGGTCACATGTCTTTCTAGAAACAACCACAGTTTGGGCTTTCAGGAAAAATAAAACCATTTGAAGGTTGTTAGTTTGCGTACTAAGTCATTAAGTTCCTGAAGTATAACTAATGGCCCTCATTAGCACATTTAGAATTAAAACCAGATTCACACTTCATATTTCTAACTTATGTCATTATGTCGTTGAGCCCATCAAAGAGCTCTAGTAGATTAGTAAGGCATGATTTCCCTTTACAGAAACCATGTTGACTTTTCCCCAACAAATTATGTTCATCTATGTGTCTGACAATTTTATTCTTTCCTATGGTTTCAACTAATTTGCGTGATACTGACATGAGACTTACTGGTCTGTGATTGCCAGGATCACCTTTAGACCCCTTTTTAAATATAGTGTAAAATTATGTGTATAAGTTCTATGTCCAAATACATTCTTAACACTATATTTACAGCAGAGTGTGATGTTGAGATTTTCACTAGTGATTTGATACTGATCTACTATGTTAACTATACATGAATGAGGTTTCCATATAACACTTTAGCAGAATTGTTTGGCCTTTCATGTGTTTCTACAGTAATTTCTGCTTTGTTAATGACTGGTTTACTGGATGCAGTATGTAAACATATTCTTTGCTTTATATCAGTGTTGCTCAAAGTGGTCTGTGGACCCCCTCCGCGAAAGCCGCTACTGGGCTGCTCTGGTTTGTTTACTTACCGGCTCCGCAACCACAGAGCCTCATGGTGACCAGGGCTGCTGCTTCCCATGACTCCCCTTGTCTGCAAAAGGCGAACCGCAGCCAATGGAAGCCGCAAGGCTCTGAGACTGCAGAGTCGGAAAGTAAACAAACCAGAGTGGCCTGGTAGCAATTTTCTCTGAGTGGATCTGCGGGCCACTTTGAGAAATGCCGCTTTACATGTACAAACTAATATGATTGGGAGGTTGGAGAGGGGAATACAATACATATTTACAGAGACTGGCTACCAGTTAAAATATTAACCTGTATGGCATGACAGCAAGACAGCTGAAGCTTTCTAACTAACACTGAATTATTCTCAATTTATTTTAGGAAGAAAACTTTGATGGATTTGTTGTTGAAGTGTGGAGTCAACTGGGAAATCAAAAGCAAACGTAAGTATGAACCTTTAGGATGCAGTGATGCATTTTTTGAGGAGTAACGTTAGTTCGAACCAAGGGGTTTGGTTCAAACTAACATGTTCCGGTGCGCACTTTCACTTTCGAAACAGTTGGCATTCGGAGTAACGTACCGGTGAGCTCATGCTAATGAAGCGCGGGATATTTAAATCCCCGCTTCATTGACTATTTCAAATGCCTGCATTTGCATCCCTAGTTCGAACTAGGGTGCAAGTATAAACATACCCTTGGGGACTGACATCACTGAAGCAAGACTTTAGTCTTTTTAATCACAACATAACTTTAACTTTGCAGTTACTAGAGAAATGTTCACAGTGTGGACATCACTAGGGAAAAGTAACTTCCTGGGGACTCAAACTCTTAAGGTGTATCTGCACTGTACTTGAAGCTTAAAATAAGCTAAGCAATTTGAGCTACACAGATTGCGTAGCTTATTTTGAGTCAATTTCGAAATAGCTTATTTTGTAATTTGGTGCTGTCTACACAGCACTTATTTCGAAATCAATTGCTATTCCAAAATGTCCCTTAAACATCATGGAATGAGATTTACAGGGATATCGGAATAGAGAGCCCATTATATTTTGAAATAACAGGCCTTTCAAAAGATGCGGAATAGCTATTTTGGGATACCGCCAGTATCCCAAAATAGCACTGCAGTGTAGACATAGCCTTAGAGTTATTGAATTAGAGTTTGACTAGGTTAGAAGAGGCTTGAGGTTATCCAAGGCGCTCAGAATTCCAGACTTAATGTCAACTGCTTTTCTTAATTGAGGGAGTTTAATCTCCTTTCTGACAAATTGTAAAGCTCTGCTTTACCATGCCTATTACCAAAAATTCATAAGAATGTCCCAAGACAAATGCAAATACGCAGTACTTTAAAAAGTAGATGCATTCTTAAAGAGAATTAGTAGTTAACCTTTGGAGATGTGTTGCGAGAATGACAGGTCTGATGATGCATACCCGAGGGGGGAAGGACAGAACCAGGTGGACCGTTTTAGTAAATTAAAGATATTTATTTATGACAGTGATGAATTTATAGTATTTATTCTAAGATTTTTAATAGACGGTGTTAATCATGAATTTACAGTATTTATTATATTTATTCTACGATTTCTAGTTAAACGTGTCAGAAATGTAAGGATGGGAATGGCAAGGGGAATAGTCTTTATTCTAAAAATATCCAGCTACACTAATTAAATAACAGTGATAACTACAAACTCTATATACTACCCAAAACCAACTACAACACTAAACTTATATAACGAAGAAAATCAAATCATACATACCAACTTACACAGCACATGGAACATTTCAAAGATATCGGTTCGGTTGCGAAGACCTTGGTTACGCCCGAGAGTTGGGAAAGGTGGCTGGTCGGTTGATCAGGCCGGCAGCGCTTTGGTGTATACGGGAAGGCACACGCACAGTGGTACGTGTGTTGCGAAGACCTCCTCGAGCAAACCGTGCAATGGGTATTTATCCCCAAATCTGCACATTGCTTTCCTGCACTTGCATATTACCATATATGGCCCAACGGTCACCAAGTGGGGGGTCTGTGTCACAGGGGTTGGGCTGAAACTGTGCAGGTTTCATGCAACCAGGTAAGCCCTGCAGTTCTCACGCCAAGGTGATGGGTGGGAGAGTCTGAGGCTATTTTCCCCTTTTCACACCTTCCCTTTTTCTAAACGCAATGGTATGCAGGAAGGGTGCGGCCGGTTTCTCCCAAGGAGTACTGCAGCCCACTATAGCAAGAGCGACCTGGCCAAACTTTTTTACTGAGGGGCAGGTTTTTTTTCTAATAATGCATTTGGATTTTCTTGAATTGAGTGACCAAAGGCAGCGCTTTCCTTGGCAAACCTCGTCCTGGGTTGCTGAGAACTTGATAAAGGACAGCAAGACCTCTCCCTATGAGAACAGAGCACCACTGTCTTTCTAAATAGTATGTGGTGTGTTGGAGTTGAGTTTTAAATGTTGCTTTTTGATCTGCATTACTTTAGTATAGATACATTGTTTAATCTGGATTGAATTGGACCAATGGTTGGTGATGGGCAAATGCTGACTTTAAACATTCACTAACTAATTGCTTTCTAGATTTTTAAGGTGGTAACAAAAGAGAATTTAGTTAGTGGGTGGAGTACCTGATGAGGTAGGGCTGATTCAGAGAATCAGTCTAACTCATAATGTCTTAATTTAAGATAGGGCGGGCTTCCCAGAATATGGAGGACAAAGTGGACAGTTTTACCATTGACAGTATTGATAACTTGATAACAGTATTGATGATTTCTTATGGTTGTGTAAAGAGTAAGACTGACTTTATATTGTTTTGTTGAGTAGCTTTATCATCAACTAAAGACAGAGTTAAATGTTAACATGAACTAAATTGCCATCAGTACACTGCACACAGCAGCCACACACCACACCACAGAAACACTTACCCAGATCAGAAATTGTTGTGTGTAAAGATAAAGTCACATAGCTCAGCCACCAGGTTTGCTGTGGCATCCTCAGGGATACGGTTCCCGAGTGCTTGTAGTCTACCCTTGTGTGGAATATTGGTGTAAAGAGCTTTTACATCTATAGTGGCCAGGATAGTGTTTCAGGAAGATCACTGATGCTTTGTCTTTTCCTCAGGAAATCGGTGGTGACTCAGAGATAGCTAGGACTGCTGGCAGCATAGGGTCTGAGGAGAGTCTCAACAAAGCCAGATAATCCTGTGGCGAGAGTGTCACTGCCTGAGATGATGGGTCATCCAGGATTTCCAGGTTTATGAATCTTGGGTAATAGACTACTTCTGGTTGGCACTCTGGGGGTGTGTCTGTGAAGATTTGGTCCCGTATTATTTCAGGGAGTTTCTTGAGCAGATGGTGTAATTTCTTTAGTATTCCTCAGTGGGATCAGAGGAAAGAGGCCTGTAGAATGAGGTGGTGGTGAGTTGCTTTGCAGCCCCCTGTTCATAATCTGACCTATTCATGGTGACTACAGCACCCCCTTTGTCAGCCTCTTCGATTATAATGTCAAAAGTTGTTTTTGAGGCCGTGTGTAGTGTTGTGTTCTGCATGGCTGAGGTTATATGTCACATGATGTTGTTTGTTCACAATGTCAGTCTGTGCACATTTGCAGAAGCACTCAATGTAGAAGTCCAGACGGTCATTTCCGCCATCAGGAAGTATCCACTTGGCATTCTTCTTTTAGTGTTGGGAGGAAGGCTCCTGTGGGTCAGTGCAATGTTCAGTGGCATGTTGGAAATATTCCTTCAGTCGGAGATAGTGAAAATAGGCTTCCAGGTCACCGCAGAACTGTATGATGTGTGAGGCGGTGGTGGAGCAGAAAGAGAGTCCCCGAGATAGGACAGACTCTTCTGATGGGCTAAGTGTGTGAATGGATAAATTAACAATGTTGGATAAGTTGAGGGTAACATCAGGGCCGGCCCGAGACCTTTTGGCGCCCTGGGCCCGGGTGTGCAGTGCCGGCACAGGGCACATGCGCGGGCCCGCCCCCCGGGGTGCACGGTGCATGTGTGCGCCAGCCACAGCCGCTAGCACGCAGCCTGGGGCCCACCCCCAGGGCGCACAGCACATGCGCTGCCTAGCCCAGCCTGGTTAGTGCTGCTCGCGCACGCGCCGGGCCGTGCAGTGCCCTGCGGTTGTGGGGGGAAGGGTGATGCTGGTCGGCGCCGCGGGGATGTGGGTGGGCCGGTGCTGCGGGAGCCGGGCGTGCGGCTCCTGATGGCAGCTGTAACAGACGCTGTGTGCCCCTTACAGCTGCCATCAGACACCCCCCATCGGTTGGCACCCTGGGCAGTTTTAAATGGCTTGCCTTGTTTTTGTAGAGTCCAGCCATTTGCAAGTTTGTGTGGAAGCTTATGTTTTTATGAGGGTCTGTAGTTTTGAGAGCTCATTCTTGATTTTCTCCTGTTTGTTGCTGATTACGTGATTCCTCGCTTTCTTTGAAAGTGTTTGGCACACTCTTACTATAGGCTGTGTAGTATGTTGACTGTTATGGATTTTTCACTTCATCCATTGGATATGATATTCATCTGTTTGCACTTGGGCTGTGTCTACGCTACAGGGTTTTTCCGCAAATTTGTGCAAAAACCCGCTGAGCATCCACACCTCAAACGTGTTTTTGCACAAGAAAATCTACAGTCAATCGACAGAACAGAGGGCTTTTTGCGGTGCAGGTAAACCTCCTTCTGCGAGACATAACTCCTTTTTGTGCTACAGCTCTTGCGCAAAAAGGGATGTGTGGACGCTCAACAGGGGTTTCTTGTGCAAAAAAAAAGCACAGGTGCTCTAATTACCATTCTGAGCATGGCAATCAGAACTTTCTTGCACAAAAGCGTCCATGCAATGTGGATGCTCTCTTGCGCAAAAGCGCTTTTGTGATGTGCTTTTGAAGTGTGGATGTGCTTTTGCGCAAGACGTTTTTACAGAAGATCTCTTCTGCAAAAAGCTTCTTGCACAAAAACCGTGCAGTGTAGATGAAGCCTTGGAGAGGAAGATGATGTCTGTTTGTACCTGCGAGAGTTTCTTCAGACTGGTGATTCTTCCCAGAAAGAGGAACAGTTAACTTAAAAGTGAAAAGCCTTCCAGCTTGCCAGACCTATTACCGTAACGTTGAACATGAGGAAGCGCCATTATTTCATTAGTATTATTATTTCATTAGTTCGTTGAAGATTATAAAATCACATCTGTAAAAAATCCTTGTGTAGCTATTTAGATGCTCAATCTGAGTATTCAGCTTTAGCCTTAAATGCTTGTATCTTTATATAGGTTTTCAATAATTCTTCCAAAGACCACTCTTATCTAAAATACACATTTTAATTACTATAGTAGAAATACTTGTTTCCAAAATCTTCCTGGCCTTTCTATGCATCCCTGCTCTCCCTTTACACTCTCCTGCACACCTTTTGAAGAGAGCCCTTAAAGGGACATTTGTTCTCTTCCAGATAGTTGGGCAAATGAATTTCCCTTTTA